TACTACTGTGCAGGAAGTTCAACCTTCAACTGTACAGGAGGTTCAAGAACCGGTGATGCAGACTGCTCAAACCGGTAGAGTGCCCTATAAAAAGTGAAGCAATCATGTTAAAATTAACTTGTTTGATTTTTTAGTGTCATGCCATACACAGGCGGTACCATTGCAAATACAGCAGCAACCTCAGGAGCAAGTGAGGTGCGTATTTGACTCACATTCGAAAAAATATCTTTGGATAATCCGTTCTTTTGGAAGAACATATAAAATTTGAAGAGATTCTCTTGCTTAAACTCAGTATGAGATAGTTTTTTGAAAATACTAAAGACTAGAACACATTCACTTGTATTCTGACCACGTAAATCCCCTGAGAATTTTCATCTTGGGCTCAAAATTTTGTCTCTAAGGCATTTTTGAGTCAAATACTGGATTTGGGTGAAGCAGACTATTCGATAGAAGCTTAAGTATGCTTAAGAATGTTTTCTACAAATAGTAAACTAGTTTTGAGTTCAATTTATGACCGTACATTACAAACTTATTTTTTGCCTAATATTCTAAGCAGCAGTATGATAGTTCCAAACCTTTGAAGATGTACATGAAGTTTTAAATTGCATATCACCTCGTTTAGTCCCATTTACCTCTGAATTTTGTCGCCCTACTTAGCTAATCGTACAAGAACCGGTAGTTGACCCAATTCATAAGGTTCTTCAAAGTTTACCCATTTAGTATCCACCCATAACACGTTTAAACTTGGCACTATTTTGCACAATCTGTTTTTTTCAGAACCGCAATGGGCTTGCATGACTATCTTGGGCGACCAGTGGTTTTACAATTATCACCCCAACTAGTGCAGGTTTGTGTGAAATCATCTATACCTTGTTTCGATATTTTTTGGATATAAAACGCCTATTAGTTTAAACTTTTTGAGGAAAAAGTTTTTTGGAATTTTATGAGCATTAGTGATCTGTTATTTTGTATCAGTTTATGAACCACAGATTCAAAAAGAAAAGCACAACAAACATTTTGTTGCACACCATCTCATCAAGCACTTCACTGGAGCATTTCTTAGATTTGTTTGCACAAGCACTCACAACTCGTCTAGTTTCCCCCGTGCGTACTTGCATCCGCGCGTGTGCCACTTGAAACCGCTTAGCTTAAACTATGGACATATCAGACCTAAGTAATTTAAACTGGAAGTATTTCTGTTTGTCCGAGCGGTCTTTGACATCGGGAAAAAACGGCGCAAAATATGGTTCATCCTCGAGAACAACTGCTATCAACTGCTACTTCCGTAGCTATGCGAAGTCGGCAAAAA